TTACTACTGCTTCCCGTATTTAATTATGATTTAATGGTGATTTAATAATTAATAAAACTTTAGGTGATTCCTTATCGAGTACTACTTAGCGGGTCCGTGCATTTCTTGATATAAATTTGGTACAAAACCAGTACCAATTTTCTATAGAAAGCATATTAACAATAACTCGTCAAAAATAATCACGGTAAAAGCCTAATAACAAACATACAGCATTAGAATACTATGAGCACTTGCAAAGTAAGTACTTTGGAATTCCTGGCACGGACCCGCCAAGTAGTACTCGATAAGGAATCAGCTAAAGTTTTATTAATTATTAAATCACCTTTAAATCATAATTAAATACGGGAAGCAGTAGTAAAAGAGTAGCGAAAACGTTATAGGAAATATTGAAAATATAATTAAAATGATGGGCCAGTGCTAGATCATATAATAGAAAAACATGTAGTGACTTATGTACTTGGCCTCAATAATATGATATCAATACTTTTTGTTAGAGAAATTCACAGCAATCCTGTACTTGGCGTAGTTTTTTACACGTAAGTGTTTTTTGGGGGATCGAGTTTACACTGTGCGCTTGAACTTAAGATTGCAAAGAAAAAATATTTAGACCATATTTGATGAGTTAATATTAGATAATTGAGTCTAATGGAGGCAAAGAGTAGCGAATAGAAAATGGTTTAGTTATAAAGTTTTTAGCTAATCGTTGTGTCTGTCTTCTTTTGGTTCTAATACGGGATTGGCTAAAAATTATTTACTTTACGCTATCGAGCCCGTACTCGCGTGAACTTGAGAATCAATGCCCTGAGGAGGCTCCGTAATCCTATAGTTTACTTATGTCGAATGTCAGTGTGCAATTCCGTAATAATGTACATTAATTTATTCCTTCATATTTACATTTTCGTTAATAATTTCAATAAAAGCAAGTGCATTATAAATATAATGAGTAAGAGTATCAGTGGGACATTTATATGCGAATTATTAACATTCTAGGTACCGTATTAGTATATTTTATAGCCATTATGAATTTAATATAGATATCATTTTGTTAATCTTATTAAATCGCATTAAATTCGTTAAATAATTATCTTAGACTTATCAAAATTATGTTTATTAAGTTAGGTTAGTTTTCATTTTTAAAAATTCCTTCCATCCCACAATTTGATAACCTAAATTCATCATAAAGACAATTGAATGCATTAGGTACATGTTGAAATATATCTTAGATATAAGCACAATGATATTTGAAGTTGATGCAATGAAACTACAGACTTTTAATATATCTGTAGGATTGGTCCAGAAAATATGTTGACGCAGCACACTGTTGTCACAGAGTCTGTGGCCTCTGCCATTGACACACTACCTTTGGGATTTATTATTTCTGATGATGGACATACACTATTAGCAGTAACTGGTAATATATACTTTGTAACATTATCTATGAATAATGTTTATTGAGACAAGTATTTTTGTATTTATAATTTTTAATATTCATTATTTACAGAAAGAGATAATGGTACTGTGGAATTCATGACAGTCCCAGTGGCTTTTATACACCAGAACCGTACTGCAGTACAATCTACGCTAAAAGGAAATAATGAAAATGTAACTTTAGATTTGATAGAGTAAAAGGATCCTTTCATTAACCTATTTATTTAATTATAGGACTTCATTTTTCTTGTCATTTCAGTCAATTTTTCAAATTAGTTTGGATGGTGATGTTACTACAGGAATCCAACATAATACATTTGTACCTACACAGCCTTGTCCACCAATACCTATTATTACAAACGAGACCCAAGTATCTGAAGCTGAAAAAAAAAATCAAATAGAAACTGACATAGAACAATATGGTAATCCAAGTTCATTGGATTTAAAAAATCCAATTCCAAATAAGTCATCAGGAAATCTTGGATCCGAATCTCTAATCCCTATTGAAAAACCAGTTGCAAAGAGAAGTCCTGGTCGGCCCAGAAAAGATGAGACTATACTTTCTATTGTAAGTACTATCATTATATTTAGCTTTGCCACCATCTCTTAAAAATGGATTGCTATCATTTATCAAAAAATTATTGTTCAGAATCATCATTCACTGGAAACGGTTACTGCCTGGAATGCTGTTTATGTCTCTGTTCCTTGTGGCAACTGTTGTTATAGCTGGGTGATTATATGTAATAAGTAGTCTATTCTGCTGCCATAAGGAACAGAAAACCAAGCAGTTACCATTTATGGCAAGTGATTATTGTGAACAATAATTTTCTGTCGTATGACAGTAACCTCAGTGTACCTATCATATTAAAAAATTTGTGGTGAAAGTTTAGAGGATTTTTTAATTATTTCTTACGAAAATAGCAGAATATTATAAGACTTTTAAATGATTATTTCAGATGTATTTGGACAAACACAATGTATTAAATTAAAGTACTTTATGATTTTTTTGATATAATCTACTAGTGCCACTGTTTTTGCTGGTATAATCAATAATTGATGATATTTTTATTTCAATACATATACATCAATAATTTCTCCTCTTTTGCAGAAATCAAATAACTTGCAATGTGAAATTTGTGGTCAAGAATTTACTCGACAAATGTTGTATAAAAAACATATCGAACATCATGCTGAAGAAAAGCCACATCGTTGCCCAAAGTGTCCTGCTTCTTTTAATGTCCCTGTAAGTTTTAACACACTATGCATACAAGATTTTGGAACTTATGTACAACTGTGTATATCTAATAAATTCTACGTTGTACAATTCAGTAGAATACTGATGCACATCATTTTGGATAAGTGATATACAATTTATAAGACACAGTCTATTAACTGGACACAATGGTATCATTGTAGACGAATTTCACGCTTCATATGGCCACACACAACACTGGGGAGCCAAAGTGTCCTGAATGTGGTAGAAAGTTTGCCAGAATGGCAAGTCTGAAATCACATATGTTGCTACATGAAAAGGAGGAGAACCTCTTCTGTACTGAATGCGAGGATGCATTTTCCACAAAAGTAAGTACAGTCTTCCTATGCTGTATTTCATTACTACTGAATTTTGCTAAAGTCATATTTTCTATCTATGATAAGTAGCTAAGACGTTTAGTGGATGGTTTGACTATATGGATAGACTTAATAACCAATTGATGAATCTCATCTTGTCCTTTTATAGCTTCTTTTCGCATTATATTTTTAAAGCTGAAATAAGTGATAGGTATTTAATAACAATAAAATAGGTAATATTTGTTTATTCTAACAAAGTGAAGTAATAACATGTTGACTAATTGAGGATTTTTCATTGTAGTAACTAACATCGAATGCCTATAGACTTTATAATTATCAGCAACTTACTCTCATGCGTCTTAGTATTCTTACTGATCATATCAAGCAAATAAACTGATAAAAACGTAAATACAGTAGCAGTTCCAGAATTAGACCATTTCTTACAATGTTATTGTCTCTAGTATAATTGCGTAGTTCACGACTATGAACTTAACTGGAGCGGTCTGAGTGATCCTTGAATAGCCTTATCATAGACTTTTAGTATTCGAATATGTTGCTATCGCACGCTCATTTCTGCCGCGTAGTTACTAGTTTATCATGAAAAATGTTACATGACTAGGTCAAAATCAGCAAAACTTATGAAAATCATTAAGCCAAATATTCTGCGAACATATAGCTTGCCATAATGCTTATTTCATGCGTATCAGGTACACGCTATGAGGTGAGATTATTAAGGAACTAAAAACGGAACGTCATAAAAACGAGATCAGTTTTAAATTAAAAGGTCCCTTTTTCATTTTGTCATCCATAAATCCGAATATCTACTATCATCCTTGAAATTCGGATCAATAATAAAAATTTAATTATTTTCAATTAAACAATCGTTATTATTAAAAAAAAGCAAGTAACGTTATGTTTGAATTATTTTCTATCGCTTTTTGAAATCAATTCCTCCATTTGGATATTTTTGTAATGAGACACAAGTGATAAAATGTAATAGGAATTCTCTGGAGAGCATTCAGATTACTGTAACTAATATCAGTTAAACTTTAGGCAGAGGTCATCCTCCTTGACCTCAAGACTTATCGTATTTTTTCACCGCGACGATTCACCCTTTGAAGAACACGTTTTTCTTTTTATACAATTTGGAGAAAAACCTGTATACAAGGTTTTCGGGCTCGTTAATTTCGAAACTGGCAGTGGAATTTTGTTATTATAAATGTTTTTTTATGTTATAGTCTCTACCCATATTGTAAGTTTTTTCGTAGTAAATATGGAACTTTCAGAATAGTCAGTCAGTAGACGTTAGAGAAATGTTGTAAGTATTTTAAATAATTATCGCAATCATTTTGTGAACACAAATCCTTTTTCGTGACCAAAATATCTCTTTTTTTTTATATTGTAGAATACTCTATGAACGTCTTTTTTTACTGTTTCGTACTGAAATGAGAAAACGGAACACTTATGGGTTTAACACGTTATCTGTCACACACTTTTATCCTCCACCTCTATCTTCGAAAATAATATGAAAAAGCTGACAAAATTTGAGAATATGTAAAACAGTGCAGAGGTTATGCAAAAGCTAAGAGAATCTTCCGTTCCAGGTAGTTTTTGAGGGAGGGAAATAAAAAAATATGAAAAATCCATTTTTTTTGTTATAAATTTTTTTTTTTTTTCATTCGGGGTTATTATCGAACAATTACTATTTTTAACAATAATCAATCTAACTATATAGATGGAATTGTTAATAAGTAAATGATCAAATATTGTGCTCCGTGCGCATGCAGCAGCGTTGCGTTACGTCTCAAATTATCCGATGTCAGATTCAGTGGTATCGAACAGTAATCGTGCAAGGGTCAATTAGCACTTGACCGGCTTTATTTAGGGCATCAAACTTCGACATACTTCCGTCACAGATACATTCTAGTTACACCGCAAAATCATGGCTATTGACTGGGTTAGATAAAATAGAGAAATGGAAAGTACTGTGCCAACATGTGCTATGAAAGAAAACCGCCTTATGTTATCCCAAATACGATCCTAGTTCGACAGTTCAATAATAATGTGTTCATTTTGAAAAAATTCTTTTATACCATTTTCAATATTTTGTCTTTTTGTTTGAAAAAGTTATTTAAAAACTGTACTAGAAATTAGTCAATTATGTAATTTTTTCACGTTGTTAAATAATCAGTTAATACATCTAAATTTGCTGCTTCATCTTTCATATACGTTAAATTGAGGACAGTTAAAGAATTATGGTTAATCATTTATTTTATCGAAGATACTTGTATTGAATCTAGTTGAGAAGAAAGTTTTTTAAGTCAAAAAGTGTAATAGACTGGGTTGATTTATTCATTTATAATGTCATCTTTTGAAAGTGTTAACTGATTCGATAATGAGTTTATTATTTTCGAAACATATCAAATATTTCAAAAAATGAGGTATTCATTCTAAAAAGTCGATCTGACTCGAAGTATACTGGTAGATTCTAAAACATGCTGGTTCATTAAAACAAAATGTAATTCGAGTTGGGGGGAATCGGATAGGTTCTGCCTTACATGGATTTGTTTGTGAAAATTGTGGTTGGTTTACATGCTGAGTGGTTACATTGTGAAAAACTTAGTATCTCCGCAAATAGATTGCATGAATTGTAAAAGATTAGTTTAAAGTTTTGTAATCAATTTAATAACTGACAGATGAAAGTAAAAACTGTTCATTAGCTTAGAAGATTACTAATATCCGATATATGTCATTTGATATCGAAATGTAAATTATACAATTACGCAGAATTGTACAGTATGATAATATGTATATACAGTAATCCCTTGTTAACCGCATTTTCGAGATAACGCGAAAATTACTGGCAAAACTCAGTTCTCTGACTGTTTATTTTTTACGAACTCTTAGCCTTGCCAACCATCACATTTTTTAGAAACGTATTCCTTGTGGTCACTCGAAACACCGAATTTTCTCAGAAAATACGCTTCGTAGAAAAAATTGTTTGACATAAAAATTATTCGTGCTGGAAGGGAACATAAAATGGCGTTTTTGATGTGATTGTAGATGGCTCCCTTGTCGATGGAAATGGGGGTTCCCGTTAAAAAACATGAATTTTATTTCATTTCTACCGACAAGGGAGCCATTTACAATCGAATTAAAAACACCATTTTATATCCTCCTCCGGCACGAATAATTGTTGCCTGAAATAATTTTTTCTACAAAGCTTATTTTCTGAGATAATTCAGTGTTTCAGGTTAACAAATTCACCCTGTATACCCTGTACCCACATTTACGAGGGTAGAAGACATGGAATACGTACATATAGTCCGTCTACGAGTTCAATGTTTTTTTTTTTCACAGATAGAGAACAGTGAAATCTCTAGCAAACGACATATAAATTTACAGGGTGTCTCAATTAGCTTGACTACTTAAAATATCACAGTTGCCTTTCATGATACAGGAATAATGTTAAAGGAAAAGTTGTTCGGTACAAAGTTTCATTACCATAAATATTTTTATTAATTTTTATTTTATTTTTTTTTATTTTTATTTTTAGTTATTTTTTTCAAGATTTCAAGGTCATCAATATTATTTTAATGGGTTGACATATTTTCATTACAACAGTCTTGTAGCTCATTAAAAAAAATTGAAAGATGTACACTGTGTTGGCTTCACGGAACCTTTTACGAAAAAATTGCGAAAAGTTTGCCATTCATTTCAATACTTGTTCGAGAACAGTAAATTAATGAATTTCAATTTCAACGTGCATGTAATACAATTACTACAGAAGTTCCTCGTATTTTAGGTGACAGCTTTTAGAGATATAGGATGTCCAGGTGTTTCGCTCCGTACTTTCCTGTATCTAGGTGCCGGGCGTGGAAATCCAGGGTGTCCAGGTGTTCCGCTCCGTAGTTTCTTACATCTAGGTGTTGGGCGTGGAAGTCTAGGGTGTCTAGGTGTTCCTTTCCGTAGTTTCTTGTATCTAGGTGTCGGATGTGGAAGTCCAGGGTGTCCAGGTGTTCCGCTCCGTAGTTTCTTACATCTAGGTGTTGGGCGTGGAAGTCTAGGGTGTCTAGGTGTTCCTTTCCGTAGTTTCTTGTATCTAGGTGTCGGATGTGGAAGTCCAGGGTGTCCAGGTGTTCCGCTCCGTAGTTTCTTACATCTAGGTGTTGGGCGTGGAAGTCTAGGGTGTCTAGGTGTTCCTTTCCGTAGTTTCTTGTATCTAGGTGTCGGATGTGTTCCTTTCCGTAGTTTCTTGT